AAGGAGAAGAGCTATTTCACGTAAGATATGAATATTAACTGAATGTATAGCGTGATTTTGCTCTTTTTTAATCATTTGTTCAAATGTACAATTGGTACCCATTAAATAAGCTGGAATATCTCTTTCATATTTCGATATTAAGAATGATTTTGTAGTCGATGAGTTTGGTACAGGCTCTACTTGTACAGTATATATTGATGGTTGTTGTCGTAGTGGAGGTAACTGATTCGTAATTGTCTGTTGATTCATAATTATCTATTAGTAAATCGAAAAACAATTCAAGAGAAAATATCGATAATAAACTTTACTATATTAGAAGAAGAATTGTTTGATTGATTTATGTTATCATTTCTAGTTAAGACTGATTCGACACCGACGTCTTCCATAAGATTACCATCAGTGTCATGTTGTAGTGAAATCACTAACGGACTCTGAATATAGAACGAAAAGGATTAAATGTAGAATCATAATAAAAAAAATGAAAATTTGAATAATTACATCATTGGAAGATGATGATGATGATAATGATGTATCATTTGTAGTAGACATTGTTGTATAGAACAAATATAATATAATATTTAAGTTTAATAAATATCTGAAACAAAGAAAAACAATTATTATTAAATATAAGTATAAGATGATATTAAAGAAAGAAACAAACTAACAAAAAGGCAATAATTTATTGCACAAATGTTAATGAAAAAAAGGATATAAATAGTTAATAGATAACAAAAAATAATACATTGAAAAACGAAAGTTTGGATAAATAGATTGAATAAAAACAAAAAAAGAAAGATAAATGAACAACTAGTCATTAGCAAATGTAAAAGAGAGAAAAAATTCATTAAAGAATTTTCATCGAGCTCATTGTATATACATGAATCATTGATGACAATGAATAAATTGTTGAATTCATTTAAATTCGTATCATATTATGAATATTTTTAAGGTAAATGAAATGATTCACCATCTTCTAAAATTGAAGAAAAAAATCAGATAAAGTTGATTTAATAATTTACGGATTCAAAAATCATATTGAAATGTAAATCTTACTCATACGATAAATACAAGCATGTTGATTCCAGAAATTGTTATCATTGTCATCATCATATTGATTGGTCGTACATGATATATCTTTTAATGAACCTTGATTTTTAGGATTAAGAAGTACAATAGCCGGTTGATAAACTTCAACTATAGCTGGTTTGCCACGATTGTTAATTGTCTATACACCCTCAAGATAAGAAAAACAATGATAAAACTGAAACTAGCATTAATATATATATACACACATGAATTCGACCACCTTGAAGGAGAAGTTGTTTCTTGTGCGGATAACCGATATTTTCAAATCTATCCCATGGTATATTATCATATATGGTATAGTGTGCAGATGGATTGAAAGTTTCAGGATCCCATTCATCTTCATAATAATAATTATAAAAACTTGATAACGATCGAGCAAACGTTGTTTTTCCTGTATTAGCTGGTCCAATTAGAATAAGACATTTTGTTGCTATTTTATTGGATAATTCTTTTTCAATCCATTGGTCGACAAATTGTCCTACAATAATATCTTGTGAATGAAATAGGAATCGCGAAACAAGTGTGATATGTATTCTCTTCGCTTAAGGAAAATATTATTAAGAATTCTGTGATACATACGTAGATTAGATGTACAAGTAGGAAATGATATTGGCCATGTATATCTAGGACGTATATGACCAACTTGATAGGCATCTCGTTCAGCTCGATGATTAATATCAGTGAATGCGGCAAAAAATCTTTAAGAAAAAATCAACCAGTCATATTATCAATGGAAAATGAAAACAAAATAAAAAATACAGACTGTTCTTGACAACTACGAAATAAATCAGGTAAATAGTGAAACATTTGACTTATAGCTACATCTACTGATGTTTTGGCTAATTCACAAATTCTTTCGATAATTTTTGTATCTTCTTCGTTAAATTCTTTATTAGCAAGTCGTTGGAAAAGGGTCATTCTTGATACGTCTTAATCAATGTCTATGTATATATAAATCTACAATGAAGAAAGAAACAATATAGAATAAATTGATAGACAAAGATTTGAAGCAAATCAAGATTAAATTTAAAAGAATAAGGTAGAAGAAAAAGTTATATCAAAATACATGTGTTTCTTCGAATGACGGCAATACTATCAATCATTTTTAGAAGTGATCTAAAATGAAAGAGATAAGCAAAATTGATTAAAATACAGTATACATTAAATGAAAATGAGCAGTTGTGTTTTTTTCCTATCGAAAGAAAAGAATAGTTCTAATGTTTTCAAAAATGTTTCAAAACTGATTAGGCTGTTGATTGAGGAGGAGCAGCAGGTTGATTGAGTTCTGGTTCTAATAGAAAAGAAAAACGAAAAGTTTGATAGGCGAAATAATAGAGATCCATGCCATCTTTACTTTTTTTCGTTGGGTCCTTCAGTAATGTCGAACGTGGACGTTTATTGGTTAGTTCAAAGTCGAGATTTGGATTATTTCGATGACCAACTACTAATCGAATATTCCCGTGATCTGTACTCTTGAAGTAACTATCGTGAATTTCATGTATATGTCGTTTTACACCTTCCAATCGTGCCTCATGTATACAATGAATAAAGATCGTATTTTTGAATTTATCATCATTTTTTCGTTTCACTCTTGTCTCCATAATTTGTGTAGTTGTTTCTTGATTAACTTGTTTCTTTGTAGTAATTTCCACAGTAGCAGCATTCTTCTTCACTATTTGTTGCTTAATAGATGGTTGTGCTAATAAGTTCTCACGTAAACGATAGAATTCTTGTACATTATCAATCAATGGTAAAGTAGATGATGAAGATAAAACGCGATGTTTCACGAAGAATTGTTGAAATTGCTCATGAATATATGTTGATGGATAACTAAAAATGAATGAAATACGTTGATTATTCATTGTACATACTATATGTATTGAACAAGAAAAGAAGAAGAAGAAGAAGACCTACCCATTGTATAATAACAGTAATCGAATTTCACGTCGTTCAATATTGAATGCTTCGAATGTTGATGAATATCGTATCGCTCTGATCAGAAGTGTTTGAAATACATTTCGAAAGGTATGTCGAGGATGATCAGATAAAAATGATAATACGGCTGGTTCTGCTGCAGGTTTATGATAGACCGATGACAAAAGAATACCATTATTATTATGAATAAGTACATCCAAAAATGGAAGACATTTACCAATTTGATATTCTAATTTAATATTTGGATGAAATTTATTCACTATATTCAGAATTGCCTTGATAGTTGCTTCTGATTCATTGGATGTAAAGAAACCATCATCAATATATCTATTGTCCAATGGACAAAAAAAAATAAAAATAAAAATAAAATCAATGAATCTCTTCAAGTTTATATAAAACTAGAAACTCACCGACCAAAGATTTCATGAGGCAATAATTTAGGAATGAGTGTTTGTTTTTCCCATTTCCACATGAAAATATTTGCCAATGTTAAAGTAAATGGTGATCCCATGGCTCCACCAATGATTTGTCGATAGAATTTATTATCATAGACAAATGCATTGGCTTGAAGTACTATACGACTTAATTCAATGATGGTCTCAATTGAGATCCCATTCAAACGATCACTATGGTGTTCATGAAGAAATTCTGCAAGAATTATGAGTGATTCTTCTTGAGGTAACATCGTATAAAGATTGGTAATATCGAAAGTAACGAAAAGAGTAGATGCAGTAAAATGACCTTGTTGAATATAGACTTGTAATTTAGTCAATAAATCAACACCATCGACAATCGTAGTCTGTCGAACATATCGATCGAATAAAGGACGAATCATTCTATCTAAAAATTGAGAAATTGCTTTCGTTGCTGCATGAATAGTATTGATAATCGGTCGAAGTGGTGCGCCATTCTAAATGTAATAAGGTTCATTGAAAAAAAAGATGATAATGATGCAAAAATATACATGAAATATATATCGATTTACCTTATGAACTTTAGGAAGAAAATATTGATATGCCAATTGTGTTTTAGCTCGAATAGGTAACATCTTTAATCGTTGCCATTCAGGTATTTTTGTATGTGCTTTCATTTGATTCAATAGATGAGTGGTATTATAGAGAATTTCATTAAATGGATTAGTAGATAATTCTTCATAAGCACCAGTTTTTTCTCGATATTGACGTGCTTTTCGTTTATAATCATTGGCGTGACCAATATGAAATACACCACTTTTATCTGTTTGACGAAGAATAAGTCGATATTTCTTTAGTTTTCGTTGAATAGATTTGACCATTCTGAATTCTCGTCGAGCACGTATCTGATCGATCAATGTTAATGGAGTCATATAACGAGAAAAGAGATGGGCTCGTAAACGTTTCAAATAAGATTTATATAATCGAGCTGTTGATGGAATTTTTCCTGGATTTTCAAGATTGGCCATAAATCTCTTCAATTTATCGATAATAGTAGTCGATTCCTTGTCAATTTGTTTTTCTCGTTGAGCCGCTGGCCGAAGTGCACTTTGATTTGGTCGTATATAAGTGGGACCTAAAGATAAATAAAACAATCATAATAAAGAAAATAAATCAATCATTTAACCTCTTGAAAGATAAGCTAATTCAGTTGTAGTAAATGGATGACGAATAAGATCAATAATTACTGTTGGACGAATTGGTATTAATTTCGTTTTTAATCCAAGACGACGACGATGACGACGTAATAATTTTCTTCGATATATAGATAACTTTTCTGAATAAATCTCTTGTTTCATCCTTTTTGTTCGATGATTGATATATGTCATGAAAGAATCAATTGGAAGAGTAGTTTCATTTATTTGATTATCATTGGCACTAATCAATTTAAAATTATCTAATTCTCTTTTATATTGATGTTCATAGTCTTGATATTGAATTTCATAGGCATCTATATAGATATTTAACCAAATACGTTTGATTTCTTGTATAGTTTTGTATCGTTTTTGTTTCAATGTCATAGTGAGCAGATGATCTTTTACTATAGATGAATAAAGAGTAGGTGCAATGAACATTTCTAAATGATCAAAGCCTTCTGGTAAAAGTTCCATAGAAACTTGCGTTTCGAATTGAAGCAATTCTTCGAATACTTCAAGTTGTTTCTGTCGTAGATTGATTAGTCGATCGATGATATCTTTCTATGAAAATAAATAGTTAGGATGGACAATAATAAATGTCTATTGTAATATAGAAAAGAAGTATTACTTGTATATTAGTAAGAGTATATGTAGATAGAATTTGAAATAATTTCTTTTCTTCGATCATCTCTTGATACCGAATTAATCGAGCATTGATTTTTTTCACTAAATATGTTTGTTGTTCACTAACAAATTCCTTCAGCTTACAGTCGAGTTCTTCTATTGGTAATAATTTCTTGGGACATGGTCGAGATTGTGTTATTAATTCAGCCGTACATTGATCTATTTGTCGATTCAATTGGATTAAACGATCCGTTACAAAGTGTTGACATTGTTCATGATCATTCGAATTAGCTAACTTGTACACTTGATTCTTTTATGTTGGTTGAACAGAAAAACAAACATTTATTTATATATATATATATGTCATATAAACTTACTGCCCATATTTCATGTTCTGATCCTAAACTTAAATAAGATTGCCATAGACTTTGATGGAGATCGAGACGATACTGTTGATCGATGAATTGAAGTCGATGATGAAGAAATCGTTGTTGAGCCATTGTATTTATTTTTTTGATCAGTTTTAAACGCAACGCTTGAAATAGTAGATTTGGTGCTTTTCTCAAATACTTAGGTAATCGATTATCATTTGTTTGTTGTGAAACATGATTGATTAGTATATTTTGTCTCTTCATTTTTTTCGGTAATTGATGAGTAATGGATCGTGAACTCACTGAAGTAGTGATGCGTTTACGTTTGTTTGACTTTCGTTTGGTTTTCTTGTTTTCAGTTGTCGTAGCAACTACTATTTCCTCATTGTTATCATTCGATATCGGATTTTTTTGCACTATATTCTTCTTACAATTATACTTATCGATTAATATCTGTGTTTCTTCTTTATTCAATCCTCGTCGAATACATTTCTTTTTAAAACGTCGTAACTTTCGATTATCTGGACATCGTTTTCTTCGTCTTTTTGACTCGACAGATACGTGTTGCTGCTGCTGTTGACTAGTCAATCGAGTATCCTTGTATTGAGCGTCCATGATCAGTATATTTAAATCTATCTAAAACGGAAAAAGTTATCTTATAATTGTTTAGAAAGTAACCAATATGAATAAGTATGATGAAACTGCAGAGAATAAACAGTTAAGATAGATAAATAAGAAAAGCAAAATGTTACATATCCTTCTATCAGACAAATACAGTAGTCTCAGTTTATATCAGTGAAAATAAAAAGATTAGTGAATAGTTGATTGGAGATGAAATAATCGAGTTTTAAACTTATATATGCATTCGATACGTGCGCTGATGTTAGTTAAACGTTGTTCGATCAGATTCCACATTAATTTAGTTAATTGTTGATCGGATGGAAGATCTCTTTGAATTTTATACGCTTCTTTCATTTCAATATCATATTGTGTTTGACATTGTTGTTTTTGTCCTTCGGCACATTCCATATAAATAGTCATCATTTTAATTCTCGCTTGTTCAGCAGTATTCTTGTACTGTTTGTAGACTTGTTCTCGAACTTTTGTATCACGAATACTATTGATCAAAGGTGATTGTGCAATGGATTCACGTTCAAATGGATGAGAAGCCAGATGTATTGATATCTTTTCTTTCAATAAAATAACTTCATATTTAGTCATATCTTGATCACATTTCAATTTACATAAACGTTCCATTATTTCCATCTAAAACAATATTAATATGTGATAGAAACAAGAAAAAAAATTCAAATAGGTACTTACCTGATTCTCATTCGGTTTTTGATCAAGATAAGTACGTTTAAGTATTTGATCAGTATAATAATATTGAACCAATGCAATTTCTTGATCAATTTCAATACGTAAAGAATGAAGTCTTTGTTGTACAAATTTCTCAATGATATGTTCTATACTACGGTTATAACCAGGTAAACGACTGGTCTTGACAATTAATTCACGTCGATATTGGTTATTTTTCGTGTTCAAATCATGTAAACAACTATTGACCAAAGTTAAACAAGCATCATCATCATCATCGATATATTGAATTTGTGACGTTTTTATTCGTGATCGAACATCTTTTGGCCAAACTTTTGTACCTATTTGATTTGTTTGAAATGTCGATTGAAGTTCACCCATTCCAGATTTTCGATAAACTATCCAGAGAGAATAAATTATTTCAATAGAGAAAATTTTATGTATAAGAATAGCAATAGCTCGTAAATCTTCTAAATTCATCGTTGATGGTAAGATAGAATGAACTTTCCGTTTGAAAGATTGATTTGTCTGACAAAGATAATCAGGTATTAAATCAAAATCGATACCAGTCATTGTCTGTTTTTGATGAGTATCTATAGTTGTTTCATTCTCATTTTGCTTTGTTGAAAAATCAGATAATAGTTCTTCGTTGACGATCTAAGAACAAAATATATGTTAGTTCATTTAGAAAAGACGTATGTGATTTCTATATGTTACCTTCGTCTCTTCTAAAGTCATAGTTTGATCATCGATTGACATAACATCAGAGAAGGAATGTGATGTGATCATAATTGATTAAAATTGAAATGGGCACAGGAAAATAACGATCAAATGTGTATGATATCTAGAACAAAGAAAAAAACACAAATTGGATTATGTATACAGACAATACTACATTAGACAACACAAGACTATCTTAAACGATAAAATATACAAAAGAAAAAAAAACAAAACGACAAAAGAACGATAAATAGAGTCATGTTTTTGATACGGAATAAGGCACATGATATTCTTGTTTATTGAGTATGATCTACGAAATAAAAAACATTTTGCATATATTGTAAAGTAAACAAAATCGTTGCTACATAAATTCCTTAATTTTCTCATTTGCTGACAATGTCAAAAGATGACAAGATGGTTTTTTATCGATTAGATAATCATTCATTGATATAGGTGAGTTTGGACGTGGCACTATTTCGATCTTATTCATACTCGATTGTGCTTCATTGTCACCTACACAATTTTTAATAACTTCTTGAAGATTATTCTTGATATCGGTCACCATTTGTGAATTCCAATGTGAAGGATATAAAATATGTAGGATATTTTGTTTTTCGATTTGCCGTTGTTTCTTCAATGTTAACTGTTCTTGATAGTATTCGAGAACACGTTGTCGTAGATCATTGTATGGTACGGTAACTTTTCCATTACATATCTTTCCAACATCAAATTTCTGAAAAAATTCAATCATATTTTGCCTGACAAATTCCGTAGAAAAGTCACATGAAAGATAACATTTTCGAATATGACGTATTTCATCATGAAAATCAGCTTCAATCGAACTGCAACGTATAGCATAAATTAATGCTGCTTCTATCAATTTTGATTCCTTGTTTGTTCCATATTGAAATTTGTTAGGTACTTCATATTCATCCGTAGTTGGATCACGATATATTTTGGTATGAAGAATACCATTGTTATGACTTAATTCAACATTGTGAAAATGAACTTTCTTTCCAATGATTGGATTTATTTGAATATGTTCATGTTGTTGTTTATTGTCAGATATATTAAGTAATGTGCAAAGTTCATCTTTTGATCCATTCCATGTTAGAAATAAGTTGTCACGATATCTATAATTTTACATTAACATAAATTGTTTATTCATCAATTCAGACACACACACACACAATCTTACCGTCCAAATAATTCATTGTTCTTATTATTTATGAGAGCCATCTCGAATGTCGATTGACAATGAAACATGTATATACAAGCTAAAGGAATAGTTAATAGTGAACCAGACGCACTACCTTTGATTTGTTGATAGAGTTTGTTTTGGTAAACAAAAAATTGATTGTCTAATACAAGACGAATGAGTTGAAGGATTACTACATTGGATAGACATTCGCCAACTTCATCCTGTAGTTGAGAACCATGAATATTGAGAATATTCTCTAATGCTTTGATGGTTTCATCATGTGGAAATCGTGTACAAATATTATTGATATTGAATGTAGCAAGAAAAGTTGTCGATTGAAGATGACCATTCTTAACATATTGCTCGAGAGCATGTACAGCATCTGCACCATTGAAAAATGTCTTGCAACCATACACTCGATTGAAGATTGACCAAAGGAGATGACTAAGATAACGTGTGATATTCATCGTCGCTCCATCTTTACATATGATAATTGGTCGAACTAGCATTTCTCCCTGTCATCGAAGAAGTGAGATAAAACATAGACATCAAATGAAAAGAAATGTATGAAGAAGAATATTTATCTATACCTGAACGATATCTGGAACGAAATGTAAATAATTTAATTGAACATATGATCGGTTGAGATGCATGTGAATATATTGTCGAGTGGTAATTAATTTCGAAGAGAGTAAATCTTTCAATGTACATTCCACTTGTTCAACAGTATTTAGCAAACATTTTTGACTAACATTCGGATTTTTTTCATTAATTCTCTCAATGAATTTATAAGTATCTGATTGTTTTATATATTCGAATGATTTTCGTTGAAAATCACTTGCTGGATACTTATGAAACGTATAGCCATTGTATGAAGCTCGCATTATCAAATTTTCATCAATCAATTCTTGTCGCATTAAAAGAATTATTTCTTTGTGAAATTGAGCTAATTTACGAGCATTTGTACTCATTGGACCTGAATCCATTTGATCAAGTAATGTTGGCATATCATTATAGTCAATATCTTGAAGAATTGCATGCACTTTATGATGAAAAGATAATTCAGTATTCTCAGGTACATTGAAAATGTTGTCTTGTTCTTCTCGTATATCAGCATCATTATCAGCATTATCAATGTAAGCGAGGATTTGTTCAACCATTTTGATTTTGAAAATTTACACAACAATTAAATCTATGTTTTTTTTGTTTATCTAGAATAGAAAGAGAGAGAGAGAAATTAAACAGTGTATAAATATGAATGTTGTAAGAAACAACAGGATAATTGTATGAGAACCATTATTACAAAATTAGATATCCAAAATGAACGACAACAAATTCGAATACTAATAAAGAAAATACAAATACTACAATAAATTTATCAGCAAACAGAATAAGAGTTCTTGTATGTATTGTTAGTAACATCAGTATTCGTTTCACTTCTCATCACGATCTATATCATCATCATCATCATTATGATAGTTATCGGTAGGAAATGCCTTTTTAAAATCACAATCAAATTCTATACGTTGTACTAATATTTTTTCACGACTTTCAATAATATTCATCAATAAATCAGTATTTAATTTTGAATATTTGGTCGTTAAAGAATCTTTTCCTTTGATGACGATTGCGGCTCCTTGTTCTTCTTCATCCTCCTCCTTTTCGTTCAAGGCAAGGAATCTTCTCTTTTGTTCTTCTATACTTTTTTGATTATCTACAACTTTGTATTTATTTAATAGATTAGATTGCATATTTTTTGATCGTTGTTCACCAATAGCAGCTTCCCAAATATATTCGGCTATAGATAACTAAAATAGGCAAAGATACAAATATAGATATTTAAATCTACTTTAAAAATAAAATGGGATATGGTGGGCAATCAATTGAACAAAACGATTATTACCTGTGGAAAAGTCGGTTGTAAATGATAAAATTCATGTATTAAACGAATGTCTTTGATATTTAACATCAATAAATATCGTTTCTTTTTCAGTTCAATCTTGAATTCGTGTTGATCTTGTTCTATAAATTTATGCATTAAAGACATTATTTGTCGTATATCAATTCTTGATGATGTGTTCATTTCTATTTGACATTCTGTAAATATTGCTAATTTATTAGCGATATTTTTCAATTGTTTTTCAGACACTGTCGATTGTTTATTTATATATCTTTCGATTTGAAAAATATTATCATTTATATTATTGCGTTTGATTAATGTTTCAGACATTCCAGAGAGCCAATCAAATATAGGTTGTGTCATATTTATATAGTTTTGAAATAATTCTAATTCTGATTTTAAACAAGAATATTTAGCAAGTGTAGAAGCATATTGTCGTATGAATAATACAAGTGTTTTATCTGTTTCTAATCTTTGTTTAATTTTGTTTCGAAGATAAATATCATTCATTATTATCTTAAGTAATCGTTCTTTAATATCGTTATCAGACATATTCTCATATTTAAATTGCCATTTTTCTTGATCTTCTTGTTTTATTGTTAGATTTTGAAAGTCATCTAATTTTCTTTTTCTGTTTTGTTGTAAGGATTTCTAACAATAATATAATAGATTATTTTTCGTACAGAAGAGAAAAATATTTTTACTTGTTGAATTGTTGTTGTCGTCGTCGTCGTTGTCGCTGATGATGATGATGATGATGTCAATGGTATCGAGTTGTTTTTATTTGATTTCTTCGCAGTTATATTCGCTGATTTGTTTATTTCATTCGAAGAATTCATATCAATTGGGTTTGATGGAAGATTGTGTTTTTTTTATTCTTATTGAATACGTAAGAAATGTAGATATGATCTGAAAGAAGAAGAAGAAAAATAGGTCATGAATATATTTATATGATGAAAACGTAAATTTGACATATTATGCATTAAAAGAAATCAAAACAACATGTGTTGGTATATTTAAGTTAAAGAGCAACTTGCATAGGAAAAAAGTCAGTACAACCAATTGTAGTAGTTTTCTTGTATTGCATATTACCATCTTCGTCCTTCTAAATAATATTTAGAGTGTTGTTGGTAGTGGAGTCGAACATGTATTCGGAAAATTTGGTAAGCATATTCATTCATAGGCATATCGTTGTTGTCCATATGAAATTCAATGAAAAAAATTTCAATGATCTGTTGAATACGATATAATGAAATATCATTGAGAAGAAATGATATTTCAATATACAATCGTTCATTGTCAAATTCGTAAACATTAGAACAATAGAGAATAGCACGATATAGAGCAGCACGTAATAGTATTACCACATCATTATTAAATGATTGATCTCGTCTTGTTTTCGATAAATACGGTAATGCATACGGTTCAAATTTTGAATTATGATATACTTTTGTATGTAAAATCCCTCGATGATGACTAATTTCAGCGTCTAAATAATTTATTTTATAATCTATTGAAATAGTCTTTTGAATTTGAGTATCTCTAGAATGTGTTCTATTTTTTTCATAAAGAAAAGTGAGTAGTTCTTCTTTTGATTTATTCCAAGTAAAAAATATTTGATTAAAACATCTACCAAAGCATCGCATTCCTAATGAATTCAATCGGCGAATTAAATCGTATTGCCAATAAAATAGATAAATATCGATTAAGGCTGTTATCAATGGTGAATCAATTGAACTACCAACAGTCTGTCGATATAATTTATTTTCATACATACAAAATTGATTTTCAAGAATCAAACGAATGAGTTGGATAACAGTTATCGTCGGTATTCCACTGGTTAGTATACTACGTGCATAATGCTGAAAAAAATGCTGTAATGCTTCAATCATTAAATCATGAGATAACGTAGTGCGAAGATCATGAATTTGGATGGTAACAAAGAATGTTTTTGATTGAAGATTACCTTCTACTTCATATTTTATTAATTCTTCGATGGCTTCATTTGCCGTAGGAAATCTTTTCGCATAGAATATGTATTGAATTAATGGTTGAAGAAGATTATTGACTAAGTGTAGAATTCCTTTCATAGGTTCTACTGAAGAACACGTTATGATCGGTTCAATGATGATTTTATTCTACTTGTTGATAAATATGATTTGAAGAGAGGATAAGATAAGATAAAAAAGATATTACTTACATGACGTATTTTCGGTATAAAATCCAATTTATTCACATCAAATTTGATTGATTGATTGTAAAACATCATATCACTATATTGTTCATTGGTAATTGCTCTACGATATAATAAAACATGTAATGTTTTAACAACTAGATTGCTCATGTTCATAAGTATTCGTTTAATATCATTAGCTGATGTTTCTGATGTAATATCACCAATGAATAAAAAATGACCAGTTTGCTCCATATAATTGTTTACTTTTTGTTGCCATTGTTCTTCAGAACAAATATACAAAACATTTGTATGTTTAATGGTTCGTTCTATAATCTTCGATGCATTTAATTTAGATTGTCTAGTTGCAACACATGTTTTTTTTTCTTTGGAAGTTCTTGCTAATATAAATGTATGCTCATCTTCAAGATGTTCAAAATCTTGCGTTGGTTCTTGAACATTATGATAAAATTCATCAGGCTCAAATTGTTCTTCTTCTTCTTCGAAATCTTGTACTTGTTTTTGTTCTATAAACTCCATACTCTCATGATATTGATTAAAACTTTGGTAATCTCGAAGTTTTTCTTCAAAAACTAAATCGAAGCGTTGTTCGAAAGTCATCTTTTGTAGTCGTTCTTGATACTGTTTTTCTACTTCTCGTTCCCATTGTTCTAGTTGTCTTAACTCTTCATTCTTTCGCTCATGTTGCTCTTGTTCATGTATTTTTTCAACTATATCAATATTTTCTTGTTGTTCAATCTCATCTTGTATTAATAATAGTTGTTCAAGAGCAGCAAATGTTTCCAATTCATTGATTTGTTCTTGTTCCCATTCATCGTTTATAGACATATCTTTTGAGTAATCATTTGGAGGATATCTTTCACTACAGAATTGAGATCTTCGTTTGTTATTTCTACGTGTATATTCCTGCTGTCGATGATGTTGTCGGGATGGATGATAGAGTTGTGATCGTCGAGCATGTTGTCTTCTAATGATATTATTTTGATCTAAAACATGTGAAATGAATGGTAATTGATTCGGAATCACATTTGTTCTAGTAAACTCTATACTTGATTGACTGGTATTAATAATCACATCAGATTGTAATATTTCTGCAACGTTGGATTCGTTTTGAGTATTTTCCAATAATTGTTCCAATGGAATATTGTCGATTTGACTACTATCACTATTGTTGCTATTATTATTGTTGTTGTTGATAGTCATTGTAGACAGATGTTTAATGATGTGTTAATTGATTTTTTTTTTATTTCAGTGTAACTAAAGTAAAGTTGTATAGATGTATGATAATGAGTAGCCATTCAATAATAATCTTATCTGAAATGAAAACGAAAAATTAAACGGATGAATAGATATAGTTGAATAAATATTGAGAGTTAAAATGACATGAGAATATGATACTCTGCAACAATGATAACTATGAAACGAAAACAAAACATAAAAAAAAGAAATGATGTTAGAATTTTTTGTATTTTTTCATGGCTAATCGTGATCTTTGATAATTTTGTACGTTATCCACAGTATGTAAGAGTTGATTCATTTCTGACATTACTAATGATGGATGTTGTTGTAGAATATGACTCCAAAAGATCAATTCTTGATAAGGTGATTGATTAATCTTAGACATTGTATTGGTAAGGAAGTAAGAAGAAGAAGAAAGTTGAATCAATAATGAATTTAATCTAAAGAATATATTTAAAAATCCATATATGAATATAGACTATACGATTACTATAAAGGAGGAAGAAGAAGAAGAAGAAGAAGAAGAAGAAGGCAAGCAATCAACGAACACTACAATTCAGAACAGAAAGAAATACTTGACCATTAATTCTGTAGAAGAACAAATATACTTAAACAAAACAGAAAATGTATCTACAGAAACAAAGATTACATAATGTTACGCATTTAAATCAACGCACTAGTATATGTTATTTTCTTTTACTATGACGTGACATGTATTGAGATATTCAAAAGAATTATTTTCTTGTTGTGATTGATATAAATCCTAGTAATGAAATCAATGATTTCAAAAGATATATATTAAATCTTTCTGTACAATCTATAGTTGTAATCTTACCTGTTTCGATTGTTTTTCAGAAAGTGTTATTAGATTTTGTAAAAGCATTTCTTCCCATTGTTCTGTATCTTCTAATTGTTTGGATAGTTTTAGTTGATATTGTTGTTTCTCTTCTTCTTTTAATTCTTGAACATGTTCAATTTGTTTTATATGTTCTTTGTAATCATCTTCTAACCATTTAATATCACCATCTGACCTTGTCTCGTAATTTTTCACTTGCTGCTGTAAATAACTTTCATGATACTGATCAATCTCAGGAGATTTTATTCCTGAAGATATTGTACATAGCTCATCTTGATTGAGACGTTGTTGTTGTTGTTGTTGTTGTTGCGGTGTGAATATGTGTATTGATGGAAGTATTTCATTCGGACGATCTTGAATATCTTCATTAGGAGCTTTCAATGTTTCTTGATTATTATTGTCGATATTCATATGCGACATATTATTCTTTTTGTTTGTTTTATCTAGAAGACGAATAACAATAGAATGAAAACATTTAATGTTAAGAATTAAATAAGAAATGACAAAAAAACTGAATCTCGTTCAATAGATAACTAATCTAATAAAAACTAGAGAGAAGAAAAAAAAGACGACACCCTACACTGAAAAAAAAAATGGTGTCCGTCGAAACCTTTAAGGTTCTGTAGGAGTTTATTTTATTCTGAAAGGTACCGTGTGCTTATACGAAATGTATAAGAGGTTTTGCAATCTGCATGGTTTCGTGTGACAATCTTTATATATTTGAAATCTTAAAAAGGTTTTTTATAATATCGTTTTAGGTTTATTAATTCTTTAGGGTTTCGTATAAAACTGTTACGGATTTCGTGTAAAAAAGGATCTCGAAAATGATGGTTGTACTGGTAAGTCATTTATGGCGTACCTAATGTTAGCGACTTCTTTTGACGTCATAAATGATTTGTTTGAACGAAAGCCAATGATAGAACTGGATAATATTCAGTTAGTTAGTTATAGCCAGTCTGTATTCACTATATCTTATTAGTTAAATTCTCAAGTGAATTTAATAATCTTTTTTATTGCACTCAATGTTGATTATTATTTTTGGGAACGATTGTCACAATCTCTATAAGGAACTTGCAAATTGTTCAAACACCGTTCTGTCTGTTATCACTATTTCGAGCTGTTTTTTTTTAAGCATAAATATACATGAAATTATATGCTCTGATTAGGTTGCCTTTGATTTAGATTTTACAAAACGCTTAAGATTTCATCTTGAATACTACTCTACTTATATTGTGATAATTCGGATAAAAAACTTGCTGGATTTATAGTAACAATTGTTCAGTATATAAAGGTATTTCTTTTGTATATAAATACTTATTTTATTTTGTTTTATTTTATATTAGTTATTCAATTCTATTAGATTTTATCTGACTGAATACATAACAACACTTGGTTAATATATAAAAGTATTTCTTTTGTATATAAATACTAGTTTTATTTTTTTTATTTTATATTAGCTATTCAATTCTATTGAATTTTATTTGGTGATTCTGGAATTAAAAAATTACAAGTTTAAATAAGATTATAATGGATCCTCGTCAGTGGACTTGCTCTCAAGTAATTCAATGGTTATCTTCTTTCAATAAAAATAAACAAGTTCTTGATGTTTTTACTAGTAAGCGGTCTTATGTCTTCACACAATTCTTATTTCTGCTCGCTTTGCGCCCAACGAAAGCCATACTATGAATTTGCTGAATTATTTAAGCACATACAATATGTGCATAATGGACAATTAGATTTTAAAGTTCGCTGTGAACTTGGGCCATTATGTGGACGAATATATTCGACCTTTGCTGGTTATAAAAGCCATATTTATCGACAGCATGTGGATCTTCTTAAAAAAGATTTAAATAGAAAGGAAGTACAAATAATTACAGATACACATGATGATGAAATCTTATTGGCGACAAATTATGCTACACAATCAGATTTTAATATGCAAATATATGATGGAGAAAAAGAAGAAGATGAGAGTGAAGAAGAAATAGACGATGAAGATACTATATGTTGGCCGTTGCTTACAGAAACAATAGTTCGATCGTCAGAAAAAAAAATAGATCTAGAGTTCTTTGAAAAGTTTTACATGGACTTTTTGCTTAGTCTTAGAGAAGGACATTGTTTACCGCAAAATATTATACAAACGATCACATCCGGATTAAAATCTTTGATTGAACTAATTTATCAATTATTAAAAATCAAAAATCAGAAAACAACTATTAATTCAGCTATATATGATTCTATTTTATTGAGTGATGTCAATGAAGTTATCTCAAACATAATAGAAAGAATAACAGATATTACGAAAAATGAACATAGTTTCTTGAAACTATGTAAAAAATATTTTTCCTATACACCAGCTAAAGAAATAAAGTTAGAAAATCCTGATCAGATAGCTTACTATATTCCTATACAATGCAGTATTCAACAAATGTTAAAAAAACCTGATGTTTTACCTATGCTGATCAAAAATTTTAATGAAAATGTCAATCGTTATATCATGGATACAGATTTAATGTTCAATTTTCGTCATGGATTACTTGGGAAACAACATACAGTATTGAAAAATAAACCTGATGCGTTACTACTTCAACTGTATATCGATGATATCGGGTTGACTAACCCTATAGGTGCCAAAAAAGATACTCAAAAAGTTACTATGATATATTTTCAATTAGAAGATTTACCTGACACTATTAAATCAATCTTAAATTCAATAGGAGTTGTTGCCATGTGTCATTCTAATTATTTAACTAACAAGTTAAATAGAAAAAAAATTTTTGATCCAATAGTTGCAGATTTGAATGCTTTGCAAATTGATGGAATTTTTATTCCAACTCTTCAGACTCATTTACATTTTGCATTTACGGTAGTAACTGGTGATCATTTAGCGTCGAATGATATAGGAGGGTTCCAGAAAATTTTCAATACTGGAGAATTCTGTAGACATTGTCATGTAAATTATAATCAAAAACTTGTTCCTTTGAATGAAACTACTCATCGTCGTCGAATACAAGATTAACATAATAATTTTGTTCAACAAGTGACCAATTTGAATAATAATGTTACATTACATGGTGTTGTTGGTGCAAGTCCATTGGTAAATCTGATAGGTTTTCATGCTGTAACTTCTTTACCTAATGACCCTATGCACGATTTTAATGAGGGTATATAAAAAAAAAACTTTATTATTTTTAAAAATAATTTTTTTTGTCTCTTTAGGTGTTTGTGGTCAATTAATAATGGCTATGTTGAAAGAAGCTTCAACAAAAAGACTCCTTACATATGGTGATATTGAAAATCGATTGTTAGCGTTTGAATATGGTGATAATGATAAGTCCAATAAGCCACCAATTTTACGAAAGAAACATTTAAAAAAAGGAAAAGTTGTTGGTACAGCATCACAGAAGATGCTTTTTTTTAAGTTATTCCCTATCATCTTTTATGATTTTATTGACCAATTAGAAACAAAAGAGATTTACATATGTTTAAGAGAGATTGTAAGTTTAGTTTTCGCTTGTCCATTTCGTAAATCTTGGTTGTCATATTTACATTCATTATGTATTCGTTTTCAATGTTTAATGGTTCATCTATTACCGCACATGGTGACTCCAAAGATACACTTTGTGACTGATTATGCAAAGCAGATCGAAATGAATGGTCCAGCTATCAGACATTGGTGCATGCGCTTTGAATCGAAGCATCAGATATTTAAACGACTCGCTGTGAAGTCTAACAATTTCAAAAATATTCTTTATACATTATCGAAACGCAATCAATTACATCAATGTCTTCTTTTATCTTTTTCAAACTATTATACAATTGTTAATGAAGGTTATTCAGTATCTGAACGAGATTTATGCACATTACCAATTGATATTCGTAGATTATTAGAAAAAAAAATTGGTCATTTTAATAATACGATAAAAATTATGGAATATCAACGATTGAAGTTCAACCATGTTATGTTAATGAAAGGATCTGTATTTGTGGATAAGTTGATACATGAGGAAGAGATACCCTCTTTTCTTCATCTATCATTTATATTTAAAATTAATACCACTTGGTTATTAATAGTTGAACAACTACAAACAATCAGTTTCAATGAGTCCTTGTGGTCCTATGAACTTGAACATACACATTTATTTTTTATTAAAGAGCCAGATGAACTTATTTGTATTTTACCAAAAGGGATTGATATATATGAGATAGAAAAAAAATTTTATGTAAACGTTTTTTCGCGTCTTACTAAAGATAAACTATGTGCGTCATAAAAATAATACCCTGATAAAGATCATATAGCAGAAAAAATATCTCGCTGCATTATAAATGTAGCAATTAAAATGTGTTGTTCCTTTTATATTGTTGAGCTGTTTGAATTGATACATTCTTTTCTTTTTTAGGCGAAGATATTGATGGTGAAACACTTTTTAATTTACCACAATCCATGATGTATGAAATAATTAAACCTATGAAAGATCGTGTACGTTTTTTAACTGAACATCGTAATTTATTTGATGGTGCAAGTAAAAATGATTCTGATCAATCAAAATGTGAAAAATATAGTCATATTTCATTAGATGATTCTCAGCAACTACTTGAGAAACATAATTTTAATCAAACCACAACACAGTCCACAATCATGTTTTCAAGCAATACTCAAGGTGGTGGTTCTGTATTGGGTTCTACAACGACTTCAGATATTATACATGAGGAAATAATTATATCATCAAAAGAAGATGAAAATAAAGAAAATGATGTGGATGACGAAGAACCGACATTGCCATCTCCTTATATTATACCAGATTTACCATTAAGAATCCAACAAATTATTGATAAAGGTGAAATAGGTGAATTCCGTAGTCATACAAATGCACGTCGACTTTTACTTGATACAATTTTTAATGATGTGACAACCAAATATTCGCTGTTGTAAGTAATAAAGATTGTTTCTGCGATAAATATCAGTAGCTTTTTCTTTCATATTTAGGTATCCTACTAGAGATCATTACAGATTAATGGGCAAAGCAATACTAAAAAAATTAAACACTTCTAAAGATAATGAAGCATTGGTAAATAAGTTAATCTTTAAAATTATCAACATTAACATTTTTTGCTTTAAAAAGCAAATAGTAAAATATATGACTTGACTCATATTGAAGTATCATTAGATCCTAAATATACTTCAATAAATTTCATAGTATTATATATACGTTACGTATTTTATTGAATCTAGCTCTTAAATTATATACTAAGAAAATAGAAAAAGTTAAGTAGACGAAATTTATTTCATTTTGTAAAAGTTTAGTTGATGAAAGTTATTTCATTTGATAAAAGTTAAGTTGATGAAAATCATTTCATTTAGTAAAAAGTTATTTCAATTTACAAAAGTTAACTTAATAAAATTTGTTTCATTTCATAAAAGTTCAATTGATGAGAATTATTTCATTTTTTAAATAGTCATTTCATAAAAGTTATTTCATTTTAAAAAAGTCAGCTGATGAAAATTATTTCTTTGTATAAAAGTTAAGTTGACGAAAACTATTTCTTTTTATGAAAAGTAAGTTTATAAAAATTATATCATTGTATAAAAGTTCAATTGATGAAAATTATTTCATTTTGTAAAAAGTAAATTGATAAAAGTTATATCATTTGAAAAAAGGTCAGCTGGCGAAAATTATTTCATTTTATAAGTTTCATTGGCTGTAAGTTTTATTAACTGGTCACATGGCTTACTACAAAATAAAATATTTAAGAATCTGCTGTTGATATTCTGTGAACATAGAAGTAAATCTTTTCTTATAGAATGATTGGATTGAAAGTCTTAAAACAAAATTTAAGAGAGAACGTCGTCCGCTTCAACAAATATCTGTACAAGTACAGAAGATGAAAGCGGAGTATGGAAATAGTGCTGGTCGTCCAATCAAACGAAGTGAGAATGTCATTGCACCTCGTCGAATAGTAAGTACTCAAAAAATGTTATTTAAAAAGAAATTGTAGAACAAAATTATTTTTTATTTTTTAACTTTAGTCTCCGGTTCAATTTTGGAATACAATAGATATTCATGATGATCCGGAAGATTTAAATAAAAACATCCAGGTTATGAAGAACGAATTGGTAGATCGGAATGTTGATTCGGATTTGGTTAGAAGTTCATGGAAAAAAACATTAGTTCAAAGAAGAAATTTCATTAGAGATCATACAACAAAAGAAGTTCTTGAAGAATACCCAGGTTATTGTTATGCTTCATTGGTATGCTCATCATTATCTTTTCTCACTTTCTATAATTTTTTTATTAATTTTTTTTTAAAGATTTTCGACGAGATTCGATATGTGTGTAATGTTGATATTGAAGAAAATTTCAAATTTATGTTGCCTAAATTACTTGATAGCATTCCAGATAATTCGGGTTTTGTGAACGGTGAGTGAATACGTTGACTGTTCATCTATTTAATACCATTCAGTTATTCTTTAGATCTTCCAGCTGTACGTTTAATTAAACTTTTATCCAAGTATTTTACTGATTCATGGCAACAAATCGTATCGAATAAAGTACGTAATAAATCTCTTTGAAAACTAAAATCATCACATAATCAACTGGCTAATTATGTCTATTGATTATTTTTTTTATAAAAAGAAAAGGCCACATTTTTTTCTTTATCGTTAAGGAACCATTATCGCCACGACCAGCTATACAAATAACAACAGATCAGTTTATTATTTTTCTCGATTATGAAGTTATTAGTGAAACATCATCAATTGATGAAGCTATATGTATTGTTATTTCATTATATGTTATATTTGAATTACAATTTGGTATACACAATCGAATTATTCAATTGTTATATGGTATTCTATTAAAACAATCTGGAGCATTAACTAAACCACTACGCATTTTACTGAATCAATGGAGTTTTATTATTGATAAAAAAGAAGATAAAGAAGGTGGTGATATGATAACAACGAACTCGACAAATTTCAAAACTATTACAGCTACAGTTGAAAGTGTGACACAAGTCGAAGATAATCAAACCGATGATTTACCAGATAGTGAAGAACAAGAAGAAATATATGTCGAAAGTACAACAGGTTTGCTTTCATTGTATAAAAATAAAATGAATATTTATATTGTATTATTAGGTAATAGCCAAGATCAAACAACAGCTACAAATATTGGTGATAAGGATCTGATCAATGAGTATTCATCAGAATCATCGGATTCTTCTTCTTCATCATCACCAATTGATCCTCCGCTTGTTATTCATATTTCACCAACAAAAGAACAACAAAGACAAATAGCATCTTCATCATCTTCGAACGATAATACATTATGTGAAGTAAATATCAAACAGCAAGTATCAGCAACATCAACTGATCGATCTTCAGCTATTTCAAATAAAAAAACTTGTCGAGCAAAAAAACGTCCTGCTAGTTCCGAAGAACCAATAGCATTACGTGTAAAACGTACACGAGTTAAAAGACAAATTAACTAGAAATATTTCTATTCAATTTTTTATTTATATGAGTACGCAAACTTTTCGTTGATTAATTATATCTATATTACGTCTATCAAACTTAAGTAGCAGCTGTTTCAATAAATATCTTCTCCTTTGCATTTAATTATATTTCGGCTTCATTACTCTTATCATTCATTTACATTTTTTTCTCGAAAAAAAGTCGATCTGATTTAATTTCGTCAATCTTTCGAAAAATTCAGAAAACTATCATAAAGGAAAGCAAAATATTGTATAAGTGTTTCGAAGCTTTTCAAAACATTTAAAAAAAAATTGTACATCCAATTATTAAAATCAACAGCAAATTCAGCAGTATGTATTATTCTGGAACCTTTGAATAGTTTTATATTTAGGTTGATCCAAAGAATAAATTTATGTGTAAGTAACTATTTTAATAAAAAATATGTATCTTCTGCATTTTAGCTAACTCAAACAAGAATTGTACATGTAAGTGATTATTTAAATATAAACTGAATTGTTCTTTTTTATGTTTAGGATGAACTAAGGAACAGAGCTAAAGGTAATCATTTATTTCAAATTTAATTAATTTTTTCATTTATATTTAGGTTGATCCAAAGAATAAATTTTGTGTAAGTAACTATTTTATTATAAATTATATATCTTCTACATTTAGGTTTACTTAAACAACAATTTTATATGTAAGTGCTAATTTAAATATGTATTAAATTTCTTTTTTTATGTTTAGGATAAACTAAAGACACAGAGCTAAAGGTAATTATTTATTTCAAATTCAGTTCCTTTTTTCTTTTGTATTTAGGTTGATCCAAAGAATATTTTTATGTGTAAGTAGCTATTTTAATTTAAATTATATATCTTCTTCTACATTTAGGCTTACTTAAACAATAATTTTATATGTAAGTGTTTATTTAAATATATATTTAATTGCTTTTTTTTATGTTTAGGATGAACCAAGGAGCAGAGTTAAAGATAATTATTTATTTCAAATTCAATTCATTTTTTCCTTTATATTTAGGTTGATTCAAGGAAGAATTTTACAGATAAGTTGATATTTTAAATAATTTTATTGTTTTTCTATGTTTAGAACGATCGAAAAATAATTTTATTGATCAATTATTATTTTGATATAAATTAATTCTCTTCTTTTACATTTAGATTGATTTGAAGAATGGATTTATAAATATTAAATCGCTTTAATATGAACTAATTCTATTTATTTAACATGATACAAGGAATAATTTAGTTGGTAAGCAAAATACTTCTATGAAACTAATTCTATTTTCTTCCATTTAGATGATCATAATCTGCACTTGACCACTGGGACTAATTCAAATGATCTTCTTCTTTACAGAGAAAAGTCAGGGAGAAGTGTATCTTTTATTGTCGCACGGCAGAATCATAAAGGAAAATTAATAAATGATATTGCTTATTAAGCAGTGCTTACTTAAAAGATTAGAAAAACATATCTTATACTTAGTTCACAAGAAGATTTCTTAAATCTTCAGAACCAAACGGCAGTTTGGTAGCAGAACTGCTTCAGAATAAAAAATAGTCTTTAATAGTGCATTTTGCGAAACTAGAGACTGAATTGCAATAGGTGTTGATTACGAAACCCCTTTTATTGGAGTGCAGATAATAGATTTATGCGAAACCTCCGATACGAAACCCTTTTATTCACTCTTGAAAAATAGGCTTGTACGAAACCTTGACCACGAAACCATTTTTCATGTAGGTTTGACCATAGTATGGTACAAAACCTCGATCATACGAAACCAAAAAAAGGTTTCGAATTCGTTGCAAACATCGAAACCTTTTTTTAGTTTCGTATAAACCCTTTTTTGTTTTCAGTGTAGATGAATAAATGAAGAGAATAATAAGTTCAATTTAGAAAAACATTTTCTCTTTATTGAATAATGGATGAGATGGTTTTTGTTGACTTAATAAACCGTTTAATGAATATTGATGGATAGTTTTAAGATTAATCGTTAATTGTTGTTTTATAAAAGGAATCTTTTTGTCGACCAACTTGTTTGATAAGATTTCTTTTAATTGTCTATTAAATTCGTGTTTCCGACCAAATTCATGTAAATAATTCAATCGAATCAATTGTTTATTCTTCTCTAATTCTTTATTTTTGAAATTATATTCTTTTTGTTCATCTATATAATTCATTAGACGACGACGAAGTTTATCATATTCATCTTGATTCGAAACTGAAAGAAGTGATATACCATCAAAATGTTTAAAAAAATGACGAACACGATCATCAATAAATTCTAATGAATAACCATTAACTAAACAAGTTGCTTGTAAATAAAGTCGTTCTTGATTAAAATCATAGACAGATATACAATAACGAACTGTACGTATGAGTGCCGATCGTAACCAATGACTATGTGCGCTTCTAGAATTACCAATTACATACGATAAAGTATATTTTTGACTGTTTGAATCATGATAAACACGAGTAAATAATGTACCATGATAATTTTCAACATGTACATCTAAGAATGGAACAGTCGAATCTATTTTTATATCAAATTCTATATGTGCATGTTCACTACCAAAAGTTTGAAGAATTTCACGAAGTGCATTTGTTGATCGATTCCATGTAAAAAAAAGATTTGATTTTGACATCTATATAATAACGAAAAGAAGGGAAAAAAAAGCACAAACAAGTTTTGTTTGAGTGTGATAAAAACAAGAAAAATCATTATACCTGCCATAAAATTGTGTTGGTAATGAAAGTTTTTCTAATAATAACTTTTGCCAATGGAATGCATAGATGTGACATAATGTTTCACTCAATACTAAACCTTTTGGACTACCTCTTGTACAACGATAGATTTTATTATTATAATAAAAATAATTATTTCTTAAAAATAATCCTGTTAAATCGAGAGCTTTTCTTTGAGAAATATTTCCTACAAACGCCGAATAACCGAGTTGATCGTTTAGAAAGTTTTCGAGGGTTGTAAGCATTTTTCCATGAGGTATCATAGTATGATAATTTTTAATAGTAATTGTTACCAACATTGTTTTTGAATTAAAATCATTCTTCTTATCATTAATGTATAGATTTAGTTTTTGAAGAAAATCAATACCATTGATAAATGTAGTTGGTTCTATAGCACGTTGAGTAATAGGTCGAAGTAATTCATCTAAAAATTGAGACAATCGTGATGTTATACTAGATTTGGATGATCCTGCTATGATTGCTTTTAACGATATATCATTTCTCTAAATAGAAAAGAAAAAGTAATAGAATAAATAAAAGAATAAAAACATTATACTTTAGAAACATCAGGTAAGAAATATAAATATGATAATTGAATTTGATCAAAATCGATATGTAATTTCATTGGATCATTGTCTTTACCTTTTTTACTATCAAACATTTTTTTTATGTCTGAGTTTATTGATCTTACAATCTCATTTAAATATTTGTATGTTTGTCGCAGATTGGTTTCATTGACATCTTGACAATATTCAAAATCATCTGTTTTCATTATATATTCATTTGCTTTATCTTCAAAATCTTTTCTATTGCCAAGGTAGAAATTATTTCTTTGATCAGTTGTTCGTCGTAAAATTAAATTATTTTCTTTGAGATAGATTCGAATTGATTGCACTAATTCTTTTTCATATTTAGCACGTTGACGAATCGTCGATGTTAACGAAGTAGAAAACATGTTAACGTATAGATCTTTAATTTGTTTATTGATATTTGCAGATTCAAGTTGATTTTTGTTATATTTTGGAAATAGAATATTTAATTCATGTTGTAATACTTTATATTGATTTTTTGTTCTATCAATCAAAAATTTAGATGATTTGGATGATGGCAATGAAACATAGGATTGACATGGTGGCACATATGTAGGT